GAATGCTGAAAAAGCAGCACGAAAACGGGTGCGAACCGGCCAGCGCGCACGTTAATTCAAATATATACGCGTCTAAAATTAATATAAATTAGCGCCGCCGTCGGCTTGTCGGAATGCGAGCGTCGCGTTCCTGTAAATTGAGACAAGTCGCTACCACCGCGCAAGACAGTCAAACTACTCCCGAACTAAGGCGCTTTATAATGATGCGCCATCATAATGTTCACCAGGTATATAGATGTATTTGATAGATGGTTGGTGCAAACAATATTGTTCATAAAAAATCGAAGTTTGAAATTTTATTTTTTTAACATTGTCTTGAATTTATATTAATTTTTATTCATCTTTAATCTTAGTATTAAAAGATGACGGAGTATATAATAAATATCCCATATGTAGAGCTGTGATATAAATATTTACTGTAATGCTAAATTTTAAACTGATTTCATTATAATAATTATTTTTCACAAGAGGACTTCACGTATAATTATTCTAGCCATCTGCATGTGTGTCAGAAGTTCATATCAGAACTTCATGCAAACATTAATCCCGCGCCAACATCGTTATTCGCACTAGAAAAAACCATAATCCGCGAGTTGTAATTGCGTTTCATGCCGCGATTCACGTTTATTCGTGTTACATACAGCAATGCTAACCCGGATTGTTTCGTTAACCGAATTTTAACGCAAAGAATTGTAGTGTAGCTCGCTAGCTTTGTGGAACACACGGCAAATCGATATACGCGTTTGGTTTCGTTGCCAAAAAAAAGAAAAAAAACGAGGAGATAAAACCACAGTTATACGAGCAAAGAGGATTACGCGATTTTCGCAGCCAGAATCGCTTTGTCGAGAAAGGCCAAAAGGTCGTGTGTTCTCGAGTTACAACTCGACCGACAAAGTTCCCGATCCGATTGCTTTTAATCTGCAACGAACGAGCCGGGAAGTGGAGGCGACTCTTGGAAAAGCGCCCCTAAAGTGTCGTCGGGGACTAGAACGGGGAGAATCCGTTCCGAGGGGTCCCAAAAGGTTATTTCGGATCGACAGGGACACCTGCCGCCTCCGGCTGCTGGAAGAAACGATAAATGACGCCGGAAAGCTAGACGCTAGTCTTCTCAATTAACGATCGACGTGAATGGGGCACAAAGTGCTCTCCCCAATCGAGACACAATAAATATTTTCTCGGCGAAATTGCCGCGGGAGACGGTAAGATCGAGGACTTTCTGCCTACCATGCTTCAAATTGAATGTAAAATTAAACGTTTCTAATTAGTGAATTTTATACAGGGAAATTGTCCGAAAAGAAAAAGAGAGAGAGAGGCTGACTTTCAGAAATATAAATTATGTAAAACATTATACATTAAAGAAATTCACATCTTTCAGGGAAAAGTAATATGGCAGAGATATAGAAAGACATATATATACATTTCTATATTTCTAGAGTTACATAACTAGGTTGAGTGTCGAAAGTTATTTATTACAAGCCGAGACACACTCCCTCTTCTTACTTCCTATTTTCTTTCCTCGTTGGACAGTGGTTGTATCAACAGACGTTCAACTCGGAACTTCTACAACATTGACAGATCCAAGATGACCACGTCAGAATTCCATTTCATCTCAGCGGTTTCCGGGAAAGAATACTATATTCCCATAAGACTATAGTATAAAATATACTCGAGCATATACAAGGATTAGAAAATTTCAGTTGTATGAAAAAGTATTCTGCATATATTTTTTTCGCTTTATAGAATTATTTAGTTCGAATAGATTTCCGCGAAATTGAAACTTAGGCAAATCTTGAGAAATAAAAGAACAAAACCGTATATTTTTCCCTACTCCAATTTCAAACTCAACAAAATTTAACATTAATTAACTTTGATAAATAATAATTCACCGAATCAAACATTGTATCTATTCATATGCAATCATATGAAATATTTTCGTCCTTCTACATTGTGCTGATTTTGATACGGTGAAACGAGAAAGCATATATATTAATATCTGAGGAGCGAACTGATAATATATAACGGTGCCGACTGGTCGGTCGAATCAACGCGGACTGGCAGCTATAAAATGGGGTAGGATGTGAATGTCGATTCAGATATTAAATCTCCTCGCGCTCGGAGCTCTCTGTAGTACGCGCGCGGGATTCGTCCCCATTTCCCACAGGACCCGGTCAGTTTCCGTCAGGATGGCACATGCGTCTGTTCATTCCGTCCGTTTTTACTCGACCGCGTTACGGGATCCGTAATGGTCGACCTGTCTCAGGATGGCGATGAGTGGTTCAACTCCAACTACATCGTCAAAATAAAATGCTGCGTTTTTACTCCGATCAGAAAATCGATTCGTTGCACATTGAGTACGTATAGTTCATACTTTCGTTGAAAATACTGAATTAATTCTGTTAGATAATTAAAAAAAAACGTGTCAATTAAATTGTTTAATTTTTAATTAAGTAATCATTGATTACTGAGATTCCAATTAGATTAATTGTGCTAAGAAATATATTAGACACATTTAACTGAAACGTGGAAATATATATTATATATATACTTCTATAATTTATTTATAAAGAACAATTATACACATACACACAAAAAAGCTTCTATAATATGTGTGATTTTAATAAGCAGAATCTTTTTAAGTTGATATTATATACATTTATATATCGTCGTCACCTAATAAAAAAATACTAAAAATTATGAGAGAAAAAACGGAGATAAAAGTTAGAATTTACGAAATGGCAATTGATTTTCATCAAGCTAGAAATAACTGATCCACGAAACTCGCCTTAACGGTAGATCAAGCGGGCTACTTTTTCTGCCTGTTAACTTCATCCGAGACGATTTCACGCTTCGAAATTTCGAAAAAATCAAAATTGCTTCTTTGATAAAGCGCAGGAAATCGGAGAGTCTCTAAATTTAATATTCGACTTTAAAGCGTTCTTTCGAACCATGCATCCTCCATGCATTTATGTGCTTTTCTTCTTCTCTTTTGATCATCGGATTCGCATCCACACATATTCTGATAAAGAATCATATATTTTCCGTTCGAGACAGTCAAAAATGACCTTAGTAAAGAGACCTTTGAAAGAAACTCGCTATTTGTATTGCTATTGACCCGTGAATAATCACTATACTCCTAAGCATGTTCTATGTGCATGAATATCGCTATTAATAAAAAAATTATTAAAATTGACAATATTTAATGTCTATTTAATGTAAAATCGAATCTCTATAAATACAATCGTACAATATTTAAGATAAATTATATTATTTAAGATAAATTACGATATTTAATGACAATAATTAATTTCTATATAAAAGAAATTTATGCCGGAAAAAATGAGAATAAAAATACTTATGCAATGTAAAAGCCAAAAATAATGTCAATCAAGTGGTAAACTGGCAGATAAGAGCCAAGGTGCAGGTATCGGTGCGCGAATTTACTATTGTTAAATTTTATTAACTAATGTACATTAAAAATGTACGTTTTGGACCGTTTTTTGGTCCATCTTTAGCATAGATATAAATATATAAAAATTAAATTGGAATTTTAAAAATTGACATACATAACATTTGCAGTTGCAGTCACATTTCAAATTAAAATTAATAATCAAAAAGAAGACTCACTAAAATATTATGTATGTCAATTTTTAAAATTCCAATCTAATCTTTATATATTTATATCCATGCTGAAGATGGACCCCAAAAAACGATCCAAAACGTACATTTTT